TATTAATTTCTTTCCCAAACAAACAAAAAAATTATATATATATATATATATATATATATGTATATATATCCTACTGACCCCAAACTTTTCAACAATAGTGTACATGTGTACATTATGTGCTTAGCAAAAAGCTGCTCAGGTGTGTTACCAAGACAGCCACAGAGTGCACTGACTGCCTTAAAGGGAATTTGTAACAAACATAGATATACAGCTATTGTAGCAGCAATGCTGCTTGTCACGTATCCATAAAAGTCCTGAACTCTCACTCTCATCACAGGACGCTCTGTTTCCCAGCCGGCCTGGGGCCAACAGGAGCGTTCCAATGTTCAACGTACAGGCTGGAGTCATTCCTCTGCTCCGGGTGACTCACACAGACACTGAGCTCCCACACACACTGACAGGAACACTCCTGATGTCACAGACCAGCCGTGACATCGCACCTCCTCTGGGACAGGCTGTCGGCTCAGTGCGGAGCTACATCCCGTAAACATCCTCAATACAGAGAGTGGTTGGGAAGTGTGGATGTTGAAAGATTTGCACTCTGAGGGTCAGCGGTCAGCCTGATGAGAAAGTTTGATCTGTGATTATGTGTGAGATCCTACGAGTAGACACAAAGGGACGGATCTGGGATCGATACTTCACCTCAGGCCTAGGTACCAGCCCCTGCCCGACTGCTGCTGTCTATAGATCATGGAGGAGTACGTCACGTAGTAGTTCTCAAACACTGACTCCTTAAACTTGCACTCTGGTGTGAAGTGTTCCTGAAGGGCAAAGGAGGGAGGAGAAAAAAGATGCAAGATGAGGTTTGAAATTTCAAATCCTTTACGTGACACAGTGGATAGTAAGAAGTAATATGGTGATACAAATATACACAAAAGCAGTGTCTAGAGAGTAACTGTAAAATAATTTTATTTCTCAGGTTATTATGCAAAGACAACTATAAGCCATTTTATAGACCGATATCCCTGCAAAAGTATAAAACATAACAACATCAACCAATGGCATGAGTTTTGGGGTGGAACTATCTGTCTGTCCAACCAATGGCAGATGAGGGGGAAGGAGGAAAATCTGTTTGAAAACCATGGTTATTATAATTAACTAAAACTAAAATCAACAAAAAAATGTTTTTAATAAAATAAATATGAACTGAAATAAAATATACAAAGAATATTTTATTTCATGTAGAATTAAAGACATCTTTCACTTGTTTTCATTTAGTTTAACTTATTGTATTGTATTGTAAAATAAATAAAATTGAGATAAAACAAGAAAAAAAACTAAAATTGAGATAAAATCAAGAAAAACTATATAGGCAAATAAAAAAAACTACAAAAACATAACATAAAACATTTATAAAACTCTACATTTAAAATATAAATGGAAAATGTATTTAAAAAAATATTAATAAAACTATACCATTGTGGTATCTCAATGGTATTAAAACAATACTGCAAAAAAAAAAAAACAATCATTATTTTGCAACTCTACTTTAAATTAAGGCGAGACACCCCAGGTGAATAGGGTAAAAAACAACTAATAGATATCACCATACTTACAAATTTGACTGATTACATTAAGAATTAAAAACATTTGTTTGTATTACATGTTTTCTGAAATGTTATGTTTAAATATGCAAATAAGGCATCATCTTATTAAATATTCACTCATTTGCATACATTTCTAGAACAAAAAACTTAACAAGCCAAAAAGCCCAAAATCTCAAAATTGCCAGGTGCTTAAAAAACAGCTTTTGCCTGCAGTGTCTCGCCTTAATCAAAAAACAACTGTTAAATAAAAAACACTTTTGCATTTTTGTCCCTCGGCCATCCTCCTCACATAACTACTTCCCCTTTTATCTGCTTTTCCCCCCTAATAATCCTAACTCTTCTGTTATATGCATCCTCTCATTAGCACTTCCAAAAGCAATCTATGTTGCAGTGTTGCATAAACATGCTAATGGAGTTTGGGGATGGATGGCTCTTCAGCTCGGTCTATGGATCCGGTCCATATTGAATGTGTGCGAGTACACCGTGTGCACTTCATTGAGTCATTATAAACATTCACCTCCCACTAGGCTTGATCCCGTATTGACTATGTGCTTTGTTTGGATATTGCAAACGGTGTAAGAGGGTGAAAAGATCAGAGACAGTGCATGGAGCAACAGCAAATTACGTTATTCTGCATGTCATCTGGCTAACTAATTGCTTTTCAAGAGGTGTCTAGCTCATTCGCCTGCCCAATAAATCATTCGAAATAAATCAATGCCTATGCAAAGCCACAACAACACACCCACTGCTCATGGATCCACACTTCCTGTTTATATACCAGCTAGTCCAGGCATGGTGAACCACGCAAAACTTAACTGGCTGAAACGTAACGTATTTCTTACATCACTCTGAAGAAGTGCTTGTACAATGCTGGTAAAAAATGCATTTTATACTCATAATAATATACATATGGATTTATAATTCTTGATTTTTCAAATCCATGTGCTCGTACCATATCCATCTCTTTAAATGCAGGAGCGAAGTAAATTCAAACAGAAAGTCATTTGAAGAGGTTAGATTAATATCCACGCCGAGCCTTTGGGCTGCTGTTGCAGTAACTGAACGGTTCTGTTAAAATGGATTACAGAACCTCAGGGTCTTGTGGCTTTACTGTTTGAGTGTGGCAAATGATGTGGAAATATTACAGAGAGAGCTGTAAATCAAATGATGTTTTTCATCAGAGCCAAGGGAATAAAGAAACGGTAAATAATCTTTGTGTCGCTCTGCAAACATCACTAGGGGAAAGTGTTCAGTGTTTCAGCTCTGAGAGCTTGATGCACTTAAAAGGAAAATCTACAGCAGGTTTGAGATTTATACAGGAGACAACAGATTAAATAACAGCAAATTGTGTTATTTCATCTCGCTACCTCCATGAATTACATAAGTGTGTTTGCACATAAATATTGTGGCTACAATTTCAATATCTGTGACAATCAAGCATAAGCTAACCAGACATGAGACGCTAAAATCTCTTCCGTCTAAATCGGAGTTTGTTAATCAAGACATTTTAAAAACTGCTTGAGGTCTCCAGCATTGTGCTGAACCGCTCCAGTGAAAGCTCATTGGTCTGAAATCTAGTGCAACATAACTATTAAACATGAAATATCTTCTGTTTGGCTGTGATTGTTCTTAAGCATGATTTGCGAACTTCATGATAAAATTATTCATTTGAAAAATATTCTGAAAAAATTAAAAAGATTTCATAATCATTTTGGAGATTTCAGCCTTATATAGATACTTTTAAAGTAAAATGAAAAAAGTTTGGCGTCAGTAAGTTTTTTTTTATTTTTTTTCTCATGCTCACCAAGGCTGATATTGTGAAATATTATTGCAGTAAATAAATCTGTTTTATTTTAATATATTTAAATATATATTTTATTCCTGTACATGATCCTTCAGAATGTGGATGTGGTGCATACATTTTTTTAATCATCATCAATGTTGAAAATTTGTTGTTTTGATTCCAAATTTTTGTGGAAACCTTGATACATTTTTTCAAGATTCTTATGAGGTTTAATCAAACTTTATATTTGATGAATGTAAAGTTAAAAGGAACAGAATTTATTTTCCCTTTTGATCAATTTAATGAATCTTGCTGAATAGAAGTATTAATTTCTTTCCCAAACAAACAAAAAAATTATATATATATATATATATATATATATGTATATATATCCTACTGACCCCAAACTTTTCAACAATAGTGTACATGTGTACATTATGTGCTTAGCAAAAAGCTGCTCAGGTGTGTTACCAAGACAGCCACAGAGTGCACTGACTGCCTTAAAGGGAATTTGTAACAAACATAGATATACAGCTATTGTAGCAGCAATGCTGCTTGTCACGTATCCATAAAGCCGTGACATCGCACCTCCTCTGGGACAGGCTGTCGGCTCAGCTCTGAGCGACATCCCGTAAACATCCCGAAAACAGAAAGCGGTTGGGAAGTGTGGACGTTAAAAGGATTTGCACTCTTCAGCCTGATGAGAAGGTTTGATTACGTGTGAGATCCTACGAGCAGACACGCAGGGACGGATCTGGGATCGATACTTCACCTGAGATAAACATCATCAAGATGTTAGATGTATCTTTGGTCAGCTATCAGCACTGTGGTAAGGACACTCTGTTGGGTTCAGTCAGGGTGAGAACTTAAAGTAAGGATGCATCTCATCTCATCCATGCTTCCAGTCAGAAGAAACGCTCCCTCACAGACATCCTATATCTCTCAGTTCAAATAAATTACTGTTATATTTTGTGCCTCATATACAGCTGTTCTGTTAATGTCTCAGCTGAAGGTCATAATAATTAGCTACGACCAAATGGAGCACAAAAGCATTATGTAGAGCGGCTCTCAATAATGACTGGATTGCATTCAATCTTATCAGGAATAATTAATCATAATTATCATAATAAACAAAAACAAAAGAGTGAAATGTTGAGAGGATGAGGGCAGGAAACGGGAATGACTAAATGGCACATGCTAACCACCATATCCATAAAACACAAAAACATAATGCCTCTCTAAATGACATTCCCAGCAAAGGTTGGAACAAATAAAGGTTCTAAAATAGTAAATACGGTATATGGCTATGAAATTAAATAAGCAATGTGAGCTTCGACAAATTTCATTTTAAATGTTCAAGTTGGCAGACAAAATACCTTTCAAACCCTACAAAGACAGAACAGTCAAGACTACTGATTATATAGAATTAAAAACAACTCAATTTATTTCAATTTACAGTATGAAAAAGTTTGGTGTCAGTAAGATTATGCCCACTAAGGCTGAGTTTAATTGATCAAAAAGCATGTAAAAACAATATTATTGCGAAATATTACCACAATTTAAAATGTTCTATTTTAATATATTTAAAATGTCATTTATTCCTGTGATCCAAAGCTGAATTTTCAGCAGTCATTATTCCAAGCTTCAGTGTCCCCATGATCTTTCAGAAATCATTTTTTATTTAACCCCTTAACTGTCCCTCACATTTTTGAACGTAGACATGAAAGTGCACGATCCAAACTTAAATTTTTATAATTCATGAACGAAAACATTTTGTAACATGATATTGATGTACCATTTTCATGGTAATGCAATGTTTGATTTTAAAATGGGTTTCAAAGGATGAATTTTGAGATTTTAAGTTTTCAATTGATATATAATTTCTGATGATTTCTAAAGTGTGATAGAGAAAAAGGCAACAAAGACTTTTTTTGACAAAGGTCAGAACACCTGTTACGATGTAGATTTTTGAGGTGCACTCTTGTCATAAATTAATCTATTACTTTTCCTACATCAACAAAATCATTGGTAAAATATCTATTTAGGAGTCTTAGACCTTTCCAACAATATATATAGTTTGTCATGATTAGATTAGGATTTAATTGTAATATAGTGAAGTAAACTTAGGCGTCCCACAGAGGGGACGGGTGACAGTTAAAGGGTTTTAAATCATTTTTATTTTTAATATTTTTGTGGAAACTGTGTTTTTTCCCCAGGATTCTATGATCAACAGTTTTTGAAAGAGTGTTTATTTTAAATAGAAATAGTGTAAAATTATAAATGTCTTTACTATCACTTTTGATCAATTTAATATATATTTGCTGACATTTTTTTTTTTTATAATAATAATAAAAAACTTGCAGACCGCAAACTGAATGCAAGTGTATTTGAATAGCACATTTCATAATTGCTCCAAAGCAGCTTAAAACAA